ACGAGACGCGACCGGATCACTGCTTAGACTCAAATCTAAGCAAAGGTTCGATGGGTTGGATGAGCTAGCCATTGTTCACGAAGTTAAAAGAGAAGGGGTGGACGGAGTAGATTTTCAAACGGGCCGGAGACGATTTCTGGGCAATTTTCAAGTGTGCATGCTAGAGGTGATCAATTACCTCTATTAAAGGAGAGGCGTTCACCAATTCAGAATGAAGAGACACCACTCTTCAAAACTGGAATTTCCGGCGTAAAGATCGCCAGCTCGTCAGACGCAATCCCAGCTTTTCAGAAGACGCGTGGAAGGCGAGAAATCAGCTGCACACTTTAGCTGACAAATGTGGGAGACAAAGCCGAAAGCTCTCGGCTTTCCAGAAAGCGTGTGCATATTTGTCGAAAACTCCCGGCTTTGCAGAAAACGCGTGCCACTTGTCAAAAGATCTCAGACAGAGCCGCATCCGCGCTGCTACGTGTCGTTCAGAAAGCGAAGGGCATCGTTCAGAAATCGAAGGGGCGACTGCTCAGAAATCGAAGAGGCAAATTCAAAGATCGAAGAGTCGTCACTATTTCAAAAAGCCGGATTTGCGGGATCAAAACGTTTGTCGACAACGGTAAAAGAACAGTACCACCACTTGCTATTGAATTCCCTATATATGTCGACCTTCATTTTTTGGCAAAGCAGAACTGAAGAAAAAGCCCAACTCTTTCTCACCTCTGAGGGTGCACTCCCAGCAAAGCCTTTCAAAATACTCCATTCTTTCTTCTTCCCCAAAGATGATACCAGATGCCTGGAGTACAGATGACCCAGGAGGAAACAGCACCACAAATACATGTGCTGATTCATTCACTGCTTCTTCAAAAGCAAAGGTATCTCATATCATCAAGGTCAAAAGCAAAAGTATCTCATATCATGCTCTTTCCCTGTCCTTTTCTTTGTCCTTGTTATTACTTGCATGGCAAAGTAAAAGAAGCAATCAGCCGACACTTGGAGTCTATCTGGACTCTATTCCCTGGTTGCTTACCTAGCTTTGCCGAGCTATCCTCTAACCCTCTTCAATACGAATTGGAGAGATTGAACAAAGAAACAGATAAAAGGAGGAAGCTCAGACCTTCGAGGGAGACCAAAGGAAGCCTGCTACCCAGTTCAAGAGTAGCACAAAGGAAAATCAACGATGGGAGCAGCGCATTTCAAGAGTAAGCCTGTGGAATCACTCAAGATGAAGCCTCACTGCAATCACCAAGGAGAAGATGGAATTTACACTCCACAACCAGATTTGCATCTCTAAAACTCTTCTCTTTGTTAGATACATTCTGCCATGTTTAGTATGTTTAGTTGTTGTTTTATATGTTTTCTTTTGTTTGGTGTGTTTTAAGCTTAAAACATTGAGGACAATGTTTGATTTAAGTGTGGGGGGGTAACTAAGTATGTTGATGCAAAAATTTGTTGGATTTTATCACCCATAACTTCAAGTGTTGTTCCTTGCTGTTTTAAAATGTTTTTAAACTGTTTTAGTGTGTTTTGACTTAAAAATTCGAAAATCCCATAAAAATTTGAAAAATTGTTTTGAAAAACCCAAAAAAAAAGAGTTGTTTTAAAGTTGTTTTTGTGTGTTTGTGTCGTAGGTCACCTTCCAACGCAATGATGAGGATTTGGTTTTTAATTGCATGATGGTTAAAGAAAGTTACAAACATGGATGGACGTTTGATATACTCTTTGGTTTATGCTTGGTTGTCGTTATAGTTTACGAATTCACATGTAATCACAAATAATAAAAATTAGTTTTTGTAACATGCTTGAAGGAAGGAACTCAAACAAACGCTACATCCCTGTGAGACTTGAGCCTAAAAGTTATTTGGAGAGTAATAATCTGTGCGTCATTGTTTTCTAAAGTCGTTGCATGATCTCATTATTCTTTGTTTGGTTACTACTTAGAAGGCGTTTTATCACTTAGTTCCAAATGCTAGAACTCATGCCCATTTCATTCAAAGCATGTCATTGATTTGCATACCACATATTCAAGATGAAGTTGTGTAGTGACTACCATCAAAGCCAAACAGCCATGTGCCCTTCACTCATTTTGTGTTTAAGTTTAACCCCATTGAGCCGTGTTAGCCCATATTCTTTGTTAACCCGCATTATCCTCACCTAGCCTAGATTAGGACCATCCTTACCCTTGTTCTTGAAGCATAGTAAGCAAGGAATTCCTTTTGATTAATGTGTTGCAGGAAATAAGTGTGGGGGAATTTTTATTGATGTGAATTGATGTGCCATAAGCATGGCTAGAAAAAGAAAAAAAAAAAAAAAAAAATTTGAAAAAGAGTTCCAAAGTATTGTTTGTTGAAGTAAGGGCCCAAAACAATGAATTAGGCCCTACGAGTTGTTTGAATCTCCCCTAATTGTTTAAAAGTTGATTTCTGCATTCTAAGGGAATTCTAGGTCTTAATTTCATTACTTTACTTATTATTGCTGAAAGAACTTTTGTTTATCCCTACCTTTCCTTGTTAGCCAACACCCCAAGCCCCGTTACAACCCTCTACTTCTATCTTGAGTGTTGTGCATTTCAATTGTGGAGTTTGAATTTGGTATGAGCATATGGTGTCACTGGTTCTCGCATCTAAGTAGTAGCATTCCATTCATGAGATCATATCTAAACACGTTTAATTACTCCAGAAAGTGCATTCTTTGTTATAACCTATGTGAGTACTAGTCTTTCATGTTTACATCAATCTTCTCACATATAACTAGTGTAGGGTGTGTAGTCAGAAAATCTGAGTGAAAATTGAGTGCATAACTAGTGAGGAATTGAGGGAATTCTCTAAAGCATGTTACTACATGCAAAAATGTGTTTTAATTGATTAAATGCGAACTAGTGAATGGTGACTATGATTAAGTATGTGCTTGAGGGGAAGTAAGACTAAAAGCTATGTGAGTAATGATTTTTGACATGTCATGTTTTATTGGAAATCCCTGAGGCGAACATTGGAAGGTTTAGTTTTTGGTTTTGATTAGTTTGTTTTGTTTTGTTTTTCTTTCTTTTGTTTGTTTTGCTCGAGGACTAGCAAAAGCTAAGTGTGGGGGAATTTGATAGGAGCATATTTATGCGCCTTAGTTAGCTAGTTCTTATGCATTTTTGTTATGTTTTCTTCGTTAAAGTAGTATTTTAAGCTACTTTCATGTGTTTTCAGGTTTAAAGGACATATTACATAAAATGATGCAATTTGGAGCTTTTGGAGCAAAACTGAGCTGGAATGTGGTGTATGCAAATAGAGCACGAGGAATGGACGTCCAAAACAATGCATCACACAATCTTCCTCCTAAGCCGTGCATCCCACCATTCATTCCATTATTTTTCAGTCACCATCTACCATTTTCTTTATTCCCCATTCATTCTTAAAACTGGTGGATCTTTCTCTCCAATTATTTATTCACAAACCGTAGCCCTACATACATATATTCCTCTGATTCATTCATACATTTACCACCACCATAACCTAATTCACAAAGTGCCGTAGCCACCATAAGCTAATATCCCATTTTCCATTCAAAATGTACATTCCACTAACCCCATTAATTCCACCACCATAACCTAATTTTTTCCCCATCATCCGTGCATAAACCATTCCCCTACCATACCAATCCAGCCATCTTCCATATACAATCCATCAATCCACCACCACACTTCCACATTCCATTTCAAACCTGCCGTAAGCCTTACCATCCAATCTCCCTGCCATTCTAACCATTTTCCACAAAATAACATCCAAATCATCCATTTAACCAATCTGTTGCAGAAGGAGAAGAGGAAAGAGGAGCTTCAACGCGCACAAATTCACGTGGATTCGTTGGGCGTTCTAGGTGTAATCAATCCTTTGTGCTTTATGTTTAAATTCATTTGTAATTTTCTTGTTGCGAACATGAGAGGCTAAATCCCCCTAGTTAGCTAGGGGGTGATTCGAAACCATGGTTATACTTGCAATATGAATTGATTACTTTTGGTTGGGATTTCATGAATGTTGGATTCAATTTGTTTAACCGTTTGATTGATAACTTATTTATGAATGTTTATTAAGAATGCGCGCTTAATTTTCATGCATAAATATGACGCTAGAATATAAGTGAATTTCACCTAATCGTTATGAACTTATATTCACAAGTAGTGGAGGTTGCTTATAAACAATCGCGTTAAATGAATTCTTGGCACGAGTATCATGCTTTTCATAGTTACAAATGCCTTGTCGATGCTTATAATTTCCAAAGAACGTAATGATTCTAACTTGTATCTTTATCATGCTGTTCATATAGAGAACTTGTTAGGAATAATTTGTTTGCGATGCATATTCATCCAATTCAATGATTCTAGGGAAATTTGAAGGTTAATTTAAGCGGACCTAATTAACTTGGGGCGTTGAGTTTCATAATTTATCGAAAGACCAACTGAGAATCAATTTTGTATGCAAGTATAACATGTGTGGAGATGAACCCCTTGGCTATTCCATCATCCATATTTTCATCTCATTCATATTTACGTTTTGCCTTTAATTACAATTTGTCCATTTAATTTAATATCGTCCAAACACAATCCCCCCTTTACTTTATTGTCAAATTAGTTAGAAATCAATTTAGTTTGTGTTTTTAAAGAATTTTGAGTCTTTTGGTTTGTCTTAATGTTTTAACGTTTAGTTTCACATTCTTTGAGTCTAGTTTAGTGTTTTATATTGTTTTTACGTTTTTGAGTCAAAAATCCAAGTGATTAACAATCCCTCCTAATCCCCGGTCCAGAACGATCCCTACTTATACTTATACTACAATTGTCAAAAAGAGGGTTTAATTTGTGCGTATAAATCTCGCATCACATGTCCATGTCCGCGATCTCGACCACGACTTATTCCGTACTGGCATTTTTCATTGTTGAAGCTTTCTTCATTCTTCTTTGGCTGGACATGCGTCTTGAGGAGCTGCTCATCATTCCCTTGCCTATTTTTATGTTTCTCTTCATATGCTTATAGCGAACCCATTAATTGCTCTATACTAATTTCTTCCAAGTTTTTAGTTTCTTCAATTGTCAAGACAATGTGCTCGAACTTGGGGTCCAACGAGTGTAGCATCTTCTCCATAATTCTAACATCTTCTAACTTTTCTCCTTTTCTTTTTAATTGATTGGAAACAACTAAGACTCTTGAGAAAGAATCAGAGATTGATTCAGACCCTTTCATTTGTAGAGATTCGAACTCACCTCTTAATACTTGAAGATGAACCTTTTTCACTTGTTCAGTTCCTTTATAAGAGGTTTGAAGATTCTCCCATGCTTTCTTGGCAGAGGTTGTACTCAAGACCTTTTCAAAGCCATTGTCATCTAATGCTTGGTAGATGAGGTAAAAAGCCTTCTTGTCTCTCTTTCTTGAATCTTTCAAACTCTCATTCTGGGGTTGGGACAGAGTAGCTTCATTTTCTGGCTCAGTGTAGCATTTCTCCATGACTTCCCATACATCGTGTGCTCCTAAAAGGGCCTTCATTTTGATATTCCAATTATCGAAGTTGTTGTCAAGCACTGGAACTTGGAAGGTTGCCATAATGTTGCTAACCATAGCTCTGGTACCACTTTGTTGGGCTTAAAAAGACTTCACTACTTTGGAGATGTTTATCTCACAAAGAATAATGTAATGCAGCGGAATTGATAGGCAAGAGAAAGAAAGAATATTCAAAGTATTACACAAGATTTTTATTCACTCACAAACTAGTACAAGAGGAAACACTCAAACACTCTTAGAAGCTTTGTTGCTTCTTCTCACTTCTGACTTGGCACTCTCACATCTCACCAAGGTTTGCCAACTTTGGCATTGCTAGAACTTTCTAGCTAATGCTTAACAACCACACATTTTTTCAAGATTCTAGGTCTTTCTACAAAAGGCCTTAGATATTTATGCATGCATTCCACCAACTTGAACTTTGCTAGAACTCTCTAGCATGTGCATGGATCTTCTTTGTGTATGGGCCGGATCAATTGTCTTGGGCCAAGACAAGACAATTCAACAAAAAGTTGGAGATTTTATCACTAATAATTGCTGGGATAGGAACAAACTTAATTTGTTTTGTGTAGGGGTAATATTACTAGAAAAATTTGTAGTATTCCTATCCTTTTGCAAAGAACTCAGGATGATTTTGTGTGGGGAGCTAATGCAATGGTAAGTTCACAGTAAAGTCAGCTACTTGGATTCAAAGTGATGTCCAAGGAATTAAGCCAGACAAAAGCTCTTTAACAAAATATGGAAACTAACTCTTCCCCCCAAAGTTAAATGTTTAGTTGGTTATTAATTAAGGGCATGCTTCAAACAAGAAAACAAGTAAGTTTTTCAATGATATTGATATTAAGTGCCCTTGTTGTGGAGTGGACGCTAAAGATCAAGATCATATTTTTAGGGAGTGCAAGTATGCAAAAGAGGTTTGGTGCAATAGCCTCTCAACCCTTTTAATAATTCTATTGATTCTATTGGGAATATCATAGATTGGTTAGGCTCTCTATAAAATATAGAGAAAAAGTAACTCAGTTCTCTGACTAAAGCTTTGTTAATTTGCTAGCAAATTTGGAATGACGCGAATAACATTGTTTTTAAGGATTTACAACCAAATCCTGGCCGATCTTTCACACGTGCAATTTACACAGGTTTATCTTTCTTGAAGGCTAACAATGAATATCGTGATAAAAGGGTTGCAAAGAATTTTGTTACGATAAAATGATCGATGTCGAGCCCTCTTTTGTTGAAAATTAATTTTGATGGTTTAGTGGTTCATAATAGTGTGGCGGCAGGTTTTATTATAAGGAATGATAAAGGCCATCCTTGTAGTTGTTGGAGCTCAAAATTTAGGGGATAACACTATTTTTACGGCAGAAGCACTGGCTCTAAGGGCATCTTTGAAATGTGCTAAACGAAAATGCATGGTGTACATTGTAATGTAAGGCGATTCAAAGTCGATCATTGATGTGGTGTAAGGCTTGAGTCAAACCCTTGGAACTTAAGATCAATTCTGGAAGATATAAAGTGGCTTGCTTCTTCTTGTCAGAAGGTCAAGTGGACCCATACTGTGACAACCGTCCCTAAATTTACGATTTTATTAAGTCTAAATGAGTGAATTGTTGAAAATGCCGCTAGACTAACCGTCCCTAAACTTATGTTGGCTTTTTCGGAAACACTCCTAGGCTAATTTCGACGTCCTGAGTCCATTTTTGACATCCATTTAGTGAAATTCTAAAGTTTTGATGTGGTTGACCATCGAGGCGTCTTGGTTGACATTTTACTTCTCCATTGACTTTTTACAAAATTTATCGGGGACCCTCCTTAGTGTATTTCGATGCCCTGATTCCAATTCTGCACTCAGTTTCCCCATATTTAATTGTCTTAGTGGAGTTTTACTAATGTGTTTTAATATTATGCTTAGGTGCAATTATTTTTGGTGACTCCAGCTTTCTTAGTTTGAACGGCTTTGACCCGACAACATGATCTGTGAGTGGGTCTTTTCTTTCTTTATATAGATATATATATATATATATATATATACATTGGTTAGTTTCCATATATAAAATTATTAATAAATTCTCTACGTGATTGCGATTATTAAATTAACATTTATAAGAAATGCCTTATCGTTGGAAAGTATGAAATAATCCTACAGGATGCTTAGGTAAGCTTACTATAAGGGGATGCCTTAATTATATTTATGTTCATAAATAATGTGATGTTGACTAGAATTGTCGAGTCATTGTGGCATGACTACATTTATGCTATTTGCTCATCGTTTGCTGCACCGGTGTTAGTACTTGCCCAGGCCAGGGTCAGTCTTTCACGTGTATGTGCACATCGCACCGTACGCTCGGTTTGGATCCATTGTAGGTGCCACTCCTGTCGTACAAGTTGCAATAGGCAATTCCGACTTGTATATGCTGCACATAGCTCCTGTCTTCACGTGATTGTAGTACTAGAGCATATATTATAGTTACACCCAGTCTTGTTCATGTCAGAATACCTCTGCATGAACTTGTGTGTCAGCATGTGTCGATGAGCACCCGATATGATATGTTTGCTTATGCGAGATTATGTGATATTGGTTGTTATATGTTCATTTACGCAATATTGCGATGTATGGCAATCTTGTGATTTTGTAGGCTACAGTAGGTATTTTCTTACTACACTTAGTATGTATATTTTGGAAACTATACTTGTTTTACGGTGAGGGGTTATAATGTTTTCAAAAGTTTTTTATTAAAACTTTATTTTCAGGCCCACTCACCCTTGTTTTACACCCCTCTAGGTTTTAGCAGTTCAGCTTTCGTATCGACGAGGATTCTTGGCAAATATGGTATCGGAGACTACCTCGGATGGTATAATTCTCAAACCACTTTACTGTACTTTACTTAGCCTCTGACATCACGTGTGATATGGGTTCATTCCTGGTCATGAGCACACTCTTATACTTAGATACTTTCAGGTTTAAATTTATTCACATTTTCCACATCATTACACTGTATGGCTTCATCACTTTCCAGGTGTCGGCTAGCACAGCTCGATTCGGAGGCCTAGTGGGCATTCCAGGTTGAGGAGTGTCACATACAGTCAAATAAGCTGGACGCTTTGGCTACATAAACACGAAAATTCTTGTAATGAAAAACGAGAACACATGTACAAAGTAGACTTGTATTGATTTGAATTTATAGGTTACAATATCTGTTTACAACTTTTCGTCTAATTAAGCCTTCAAATTTGATGTAGATGCTTGATCGTTGATCCAAGGGTCTTGATGACTTGATCTCAGACAAACAGTTGAATGATTGCTTCAAGTTTTGAGCTTGAAACAAACGCGTGGATAATCTTCACCTCAAAGGTGCGGCAAAGGTATTATTTGAGGTGGGATTTCGTTGCTTCAAGGGTCTTGGCAACTTGATCTTGAAACAAATGTTGCTAAAAGTTTATAAGCTTGCAACAAAATCTTGAAGGAATCGGCACAAGCGCTTGTTGATTCTTCAAGGAAGTGCTTCGGCTTTGGTTGAATGTTCTTCGAAACAAGCTTTAGCAACGTATTAGTCTTCAAAGGTTTGATAGAGGTTCTTCTGTGTAGAGATTTTTCGATCCCTATGCTTGTGAGAGAACCTTGTATTTATAGGCTTCACAAAGCTTACCCTTGGGTGGATTTGGCTTTGATTTATGTCCTGATTTGTCCATGGGAGAATTTAGGCATGTTTTGTCTTTTAATTTCAGCCACTTTACTCTATTGTCCAAAATTATGAGGCCTTGTTGCCTATTTGTGAGCAATCTTCAAATTTTGTTTGTTTTATGAAGATGCCTTAACTTTCTTTCCAGTTTTGAGAACACTTTGAACCCTTGCCCTTTTTTTAAAAAGGTTTTCTCTCTTTGGCTAAATTTTTGGGAAGTTTTATGCTTCATTTGCTTGATTTGTGCCACATGTCATTGATGACTTGTCCATTTGTGATAAATCTTATGCCGCGTGGAGCTTTGTGATACATCATTTGTATGCAACGAAATTTACATGTCTACAAATGCCCCCACTTCAAGGCACGTTGTAGGCATATGCTTGCCACATGTAGGAAACATGTTTTGAAGTCCTGCAATGTGAATGTTCTAACTCAAGGGTTATCGAGACTTAATCTTGAATTAGTTTGCTTTTTCTAGGGCTGTAGAGGCATATTTCTTGAATTGACATGATGAATTTCATCAAGGGCCGTTGAGGCATATTTCTTGATTGAAACATTTCTTCTAGGGTAGTTAAGGCTTGGTCTTGAATTGAGGTGATGAATTTCGTCAAGGGCTGTTGAGGCATATTTCTTGAACGAAACATTTCTTCAAGGGCCTTGATCTTGAATGAAGTGATGAATTTCGTCAAGGGCTGATGAGGTGTATTTCTTGAATGGAATATTTCTTCAAGGGCCATTAAGGCTTGGTCTTGAATTAAACGAAAATTTTCCTCAAGGGCCGTAGAGCCTTGATCTTGAATGAAATGAAAATTTCTTTTTTTCAAGGGCCGTAAAGGCTCGATCTTGAAAGAAATTTTGAAAATGGATGAATCGACACATACCTATTGTGCGTATTTGATTTCCCATAATCTTTGGCAAAAATACATTTGGTGTATCTTGGGACTTGATTTTCTTTTCCTTGTGGGTGTAGGAACCAAATGTTTTTCCTTGTGATCGTAGGAAACAAATGTTTTGCCTTGTCGTCGGAATCCTCTTCAATTTTGGTAATGAGAATGACTTCCTTCAAAGTGTTGGAAAACTTTTGTGACTTCCTTCAAGGTTTTGGAAGGGTAAGTAGGATGTGCATTTTTATCACTTTCCTTTTACTTTTTCTTTTCCCACAGCAAGGAGGAGTTTTTCTTTCCCCTTTTGATTTCCTGCAGCAAGAAGGGTGTTTTTTCCTTCCCTCTTTTGATTCCCCACGGCAAGGAGGAGATTTGTTTGTTTCTTGTTTTGATTTCCATGGCAAGAAGGACAACTTTCTTTCCTCTTTTTTATTCCCATGGAAAGAAAGGAGTTTTTCTTTCCCCTTTTGATTTCCTATAGCAAGGAGGGGTGTTTTTT